CCTCCTGATGAACGACCTCCTGATGAACGACCTCCTGATGAACGACCTCCTGATGAACGACCTCCTGATGAACGACCTCCTGATGAACGACCTCCTGATGAACGACCTCCTGATGAACGACCTCCTGAACCAGTTGTAAGTTTATTTCTCGCTTGTTAAGATGTAAAAATCGCCGCTGGCAGATATTGTCAGCCTAGATTCTCCAACTTAAATCACCTTAGTAATCCTTGGACTTCTTCACAGTTTTTAATTGCATCCTTGTGAGTTGGCCCTCAACTGTAAGGAAAGGTTACAGGCACCCCTCTCCACTCCACTTAATTCCTCCATCAATCATCCTAACTAAACAAATCTTTCCTTGTCTTACAGGATATTCTAGCACTTTGAGAAATCAAATCAGGGTGTGAAATGAGTTGGCTTCGCAGACACGTTTAAAGAAAAACAATTTTGCAAATACATTGGAAGGCAGATGATATGAAGACAATGAAATTCATAGCACAGGGCCTTCTCTTCCTCGTCTTCCTTTGCCCGCGCGCCTTTAAGAGCTTCTGCGGAGGTTGACCGATAGTCAATCAAAATATGGTCTCGAAACTCTGCAAAGTCTTTGTTCTACTTTTCATTCATGCTTTCTAAAGTTGTGAAAAAAGTTTCGGATTGATAGGGATGCAACTACCTGAAAACTACAAGGAGAATTTCGACGTTTCGAGCGAATGCGCTTCATTGGGAAGTTTACAAAGTTGTGCTCGGAGAAGACGATGATTTTTTTAGATAATTAAGCAATCATGCAATGGCATTCAGTGCAGTGCTGTTGAAAGGATTGAAAATCTCGAGTGTAAATTTTATGCGTTTATTATACCTAACTAGGAGCAGTTGTGAAAAATGCAACTATATAGGCCCTCAGGTAGGAATCGAAGCTACGGCCCTGCGATTCCGGTGCAGCGCTCTAGATAACCAACTGAGCTACAGAGTCCAGTTGTCGAGCTATAACGGGCACAAGTTCGTGTATATTTAACAATTAGACAACGAGGCCGAGTTGTCTATGAGCGAATAGTCAACGAGGCGAAGCCGAGTTGACTATTTGCTCATAGACAACGAGGCCGAGTTGTCTAATTGTTTTAGTATAAACTTTAACATTAATTTACAACTGGGCTGCAAACACAATACAAAAATACACAAAAAACATTATAAAACCATTAAAGGTAAACAAATATTTTAGTTTTCGTTCGCGTAAAATGTTTTACAAAATTCAGTTTTAATTTTAAAATTTCATTGAGTGTATGTTATTTTGTCTATTTTCTTACCCTTAAAAATTGCCATTCCATATTTTTGTTGCTTTTTCGGGGTTTTTTAGTACAGAATTGTTCAACAAGTCGTCCAAAAAAATCATCAGACACTTCGGCAAAAGTGCAAAATGCGAATTTTCCGCCATTTTGAATTTTCTATTAGTAGGCTATCACTAATAGCCCACTAGTAGCGTAGCCAATCAGAAGCCACGATATGTGATAGCCTACTAGTAGGTTTATACTAAATACTACATAGACAATAATAGACGCTTTCAAGTTTGGCAAGTTTCTAGACCATGGCATATGACTCGAAAATTGACGGTGTTATTTCTTTGTCTAATGTGAAAGATCATTGAAAACTGTAGAAGTAACTTCTTTGATAGATTTTGTTTTCTTGCCTCGTTTGAAGATATTTCATTTTGTATGATATGCAAAGGACCAACTTTCTACGTCACATATGCATAATGATTTAGCCCTAAAAACTGTATATCTTTCATACGACTAAACACAATCAGTAGAGAACCTACATGGGTGTTGTTGTGGACAAATCTCGTGCTCATCATTCATTTTGAGCGAATTTATTTGATAGTGACAAAATTATATAACATTTTAAAGTAAGTCATTATGCATGTGTGCAAGTTTTCAATGATCTTTCAAATTAGACTAAAAAATAACACCGTCAATTTTCGAGTCATATGCCCTTTAATTGACTATTGGCTGACAAGTCCGCTGCAATTTTTGCTACCGCTGTGATTTTTATTTAGTTGGCTTATTTATGCGGCTGCGGTGAAACGTTTTATTGTTTATTTGTAGCGTTTTTAATGACGTGCTTATTTTTCACGTAATTTAAATAACAGGTAATAGAGGTCGTTATTTAAATAACAAGTAATAGAGGTCGTTATAGCGCCTTGCGGCCCCTTATCCGCTGCTCAGGTCAAGGCTATGTTATTGTTCTTGAAAATTAATGTAAGTAGAATTGTGGTTGGTTCTAGGTTTTCCCCGGGTACTCCGGTTTCCCTAGCTTGAAAAACTAACCTTTCTACCTTAAGGTATATTGTGCGACTTTCCATTCCATTTATACATATAAATTAGATATTTATATATATAAATTAAACAATTTTAATTAATTGCTTGTAATGGAGTTAATCAATAATATAACTAGTAATAATCTTAGATTAGTGAAGTGCGTTCGGTCACAGAGGTTCGGTGTAGAGTAGACGTTGTCCAAAATGTTATTATTGCATCATAGGGTAGTTATCAAAAGTGGGCCGGATGCCATCATTTGGAAACAACTGATTTTTTATTGCATCTACTTCTCTTTACTGTTTTTCACAGGCTGGCATAAGCTATTCATTTCTGTTGTCACATTGTACATTAACTTTGTCTTCAATGTTATCACTGGAAGGGCCTACTGTAAATCAGGCGATATTATTTCATGTGTCCAAATATCATTTTCATACTCAACTGTCATATCAGATGGAACACTACCAATAGGGAGTGAATCTAAGGAAATGTTGATTGATAGTCACATTACTATAATGTAGATTATTTCTCAAAAGCCATAGCATTATAGTAATGCATGTTGCACTTTTTCTTACTTCTGACCTTAACATCCTTAAATGTGTTATCTTTACCCTTTATCTTAACTATAATAATAGACCCTAGGATGACTTAGCAAAACTGATGTAAGCTCTTCAACATGTTGCTCAAGGCAAATTAATGCAATGAACTGAATACCCCCATTTGCCTGCCTGGTTTATGATATAAACCCTAATTATAGGCAAGCTCGAGGTATGAGCATTTCTTCAGTTTGAGTTTATAGGCCTTGCAACTCAACTAAATAGAATTTTGTGCCCCTGGTGTAAAGGATTTAAAATGGTTGCATTAGCATTTGGACTGGAATCAGTAATATGAATAGTGCAGCTTAAAGCAAAGTTGTGATATTTCTTCAACATAATTTTCCCATAAAATATTTTCAATTTATTATACAGTATAGTAGAGAGTAAGATACAAAAAAATACACAGTGAGATATTTCCCATATCTTCACTAGTGAAGATATCGATCATGTGA